GACATGAAGCTATTGGAGTAGAAGAGACGGCTACATTTAACAGTTTCGACAGTGAAAGAGTGAGAGCGAGATGCCAGCCTTGTTGACAGCTTAAATTCATGAAGTCTGGGAACCAGCAAAAGCAGCTCATCGGAGCAGTTACCATGAAAGTATTTGTAAAAAAGACAGAGGGAGGTAACGGCACGTCTGTGAGAGCGGCTGAAGACGAGATGCCAGATCAGGGCCAATTACATTTCATATCCGTCTTTGGATTTTATCAAGGACCTTGAGACAATTAGAAGGGGTTCCAGACCATATATGGCAGCAATACTCCATGCAAAGGCAAATGATTGATTTGTAGATTTGAAGGATTCTCCGGCGAGAAAAAATTTCCTGGCGTGGCACAGGGAGCCAACTTTCCTAGCAGTGGACGAAGCTATTGACTCGATGTATTCGTTCCATCTCAATGTGAAACCGAGCAGTCGCAAAGAGATGCTCTCGTGGAGTTGAGCGTCAGACATTCTAATGGGAGGCAGGGATGGTTCTGTCTGGTGAGTAATAGAGATTAGTTTTGTTTTTGAGGCATAATTTTGAAGTTAATCAGTCAATTCCTGCCGCAGTCCACAACCGATTGGATGTCCTTTTCGAGACGAACAGCCAGGTTAGTTTTGTCGGCGACACTAGATTTGTTTTTGAGACAGGAGTAAATAGTAGTGTCGTCCGCACAGATGCCTACTTGGGAACTTATGACATCTGGATTAAATTCTATTCTAATTAAATAATGTCTTAGTTTTATTGCATTTTTATTTTATGATTCAAAGCAGATTTTCGGTAACTGGGGGTTCTGTTTTACGCCAAAAAATTGATGATTTAAATTCTCCAAGGAGTTCTGCGTATAACTAATATAAACATTAAGCAGTATAAAAATTAATTTCTCGAAATTTCATAAATTAAATAATTAGGGGTTGGGGGTAAGAAATGTAAAAAAAAAAAACGTTTCAGCAAGATTTTCTAAAGAAAACATTTCTAAAATAATTTAATTCATTTGTGAATAAGTTCTGAAAGTTTCATTCAAATCCAACAATTATTTGATTTTCGCAAGAATTTCCAAATCAATGTGTTTTTCACCGCAAAAAAGGCACTAAAGTTTCCTATAACAATCTTTGACTACGCTCCCCGTTGACACATGAAAAATAAAATTTTTAACCAAAATTACGAATGTTCCAAAGAGATCAAGAAATATAATTTAAAAAATAAAAAATACTTTGGTCATTCCTCTTAGTAATAACATAAAATATTGACAATGAAACTTTGTTTTTAGTGAATCTATGGAGGTACCTATACGCCTGTACCTGTGTATAATGCGTGTCACGCTTAGTATCACTGATATTGAGAAGGAAACAAAAAGAGACAGACAGACAGAGAGTAAAAGATAGAAAGCAAGAGACGACACAGAGAGGGATTGGAGACTGTCATCTTAGATAAAAGCAGTTGTTTGCAGTGAGGAGTTAAATCATATTTTCATCTCCTAATGATCTCTTGTGCGCGCTTTCGCTGGGAAAGTTTCAAAATACTATTAGGCTCAAGCCCCAGAGGTCCATCGCCCAGAGAATAACCTCTCCTTCAGGTGGAGGGGGTCATTAATTTGAGGCGTTTCAAAAGAGAAAGTGCAAAGGGGATTTCAGCGATTTTTCCACGTTATTGCTGTTTAAACCTTTACCTTGTGTCATACTCGGTAGTGATGTGGGTGCACTGAAAAATTTCATCTCTTATGGACAATTTCGACCCTGAACTGTCAGTGAACTTTTGAAATACAAATCTATTTTTTTTTTTTAATATCTTCGAGAATTTGTTACAGGCTCTGATTGTGTTGAGCGAGGGGAAACAGAAAGAGGTGGTTATATAAAATAGAAAGCAAGTGAGGGGCGTAGAGCGACAAAAAGAGATTGCGACACAGAAAAGAATTGTGAGGGTGGGCATCTTAGATAAAGACAGTTGTTTGTCGTAAAGGGTTAAATCATGTTTCCTCACCTGACAATCTATGTGGACAAATTCGCCTCTGAACTGCAAGTGACGTTTTGAAATTAAAATCTTCCCGAATTTGTTCCAGACTGGGGTAAGTAACTATGTAAATGCCATGTTGGTGGGATCGATTTAGAATGAATATCTATTGCGAACCGAACGCTATTTTAAAAGCATATAAATGTAGTCTAAAATTATAAATTTATCTGTTAACATTGACAAGGAGGAAAGAAGGTTTGGGAGATCTCTATACTGAAGATATTTATGAACCACTGCAAGCTCGCAGTGAAACACCTGAAAATATTAATTGTTTGCAGTCAGTATTTGAAAGGATCTCTAGTGTTATGGAAATAATCCTTGTACAGCAACAACATATTAGAACTATAGAGATACTAGAGGAGGAAAGAGCAACGAAAGGGAATTATGATACATTTTATATTCGATCCATATACAAGGTCTCTGTGAACATGGAGGTTACAGTAAAGGAGCATCTCCAGTTTACAGAGATATTGTTTATTGTTTTTATTCACAAGGACATTAAAAACAGCGAATATCTTATCTCTCCTGTTATCTAGATCCAATTTTATCCAATATCCAAATGGAGAACAGTGTTGGCACATAAACATGGAAGATATTTTCTGTTAATTCACCCCTAATAAGGTAAAGTTCCTTATAGCAAATATTAATTTACCCAAAGAAATTATAAATTTTAAATCGTAAAACACAATAATGTTTCATGTACTGAGTGTTAGATACAACAGCTTCTACATTATTAGACATAATCCGAAGCTGTATATTACCCGATTATATTCATCTGACTGTAAATCACAGTATAAATTTCGTTGACCCAGAAACATCACAAACAATCGAAAGTACCTGGCGGAACGCCAAAATGAAGAATAATGTTCGGGAGCCATCGCAGCATGATAGACTCTTCTTTATGTGAGTTCCTTTGGAGACGTAAAGCAAAAAATAACAATAAATACATTTTTGAACAAATGTTAAAGGACATTTCTGAATTTTGGTGTGAATTTTAGTAAATATAAATTCTTTTTATTTTGGGGTGAATTAATATTTTGGAGTGAATTAGGTGAAAAGATGCAACATAGAACAGGTCGAAGAATGCCAGACAAGAATACGCAATAAATTTACCATGCATTGTTATAGTTATCGTTTGGCAATAAGAAACAATTTTATTACCTTGTATCGTTCAAGAAAATTATTGAAACAATATATAATTGATGCCTACGTCAAAATGAAAGGGTGCTGCCTAAACCACATCAGGAATTACCAAGCTCAACTTAGAGTGGATCCATACTCGATAAGGGTGGCGATCCCGGTGTTCCAGTCATACCACCATCTTCGTTTTTAGGTAGTTTTTATATGTATTGGGCACACCTGTAGTTCACGTACAACTGAACTTCAAAAGAGAAGCATTACTCACTGTTATATACTAATATTGATGAAAGACCCAAATAAATCAGGACAAAATAAACAAATTGATGCAATCGTTTCTGCTGTAACTCCATCAAGACAAGAGACTTTTCTTTGAGAATTGATAAGAACACTTATAATACATGGTTCTTGTGGAACATAAAAACCTACCCCCCCCCTTTGCATGGTGAATGGCTAGTGCCAGAAAAAAATTCCTGAAGTCATTTAGGGATGAAACTTCTGAAAACATTGAAGGTTATTCTGCATTAAAAAAAGACGCAATAATAGAGAGACTGTATAAGTAGGAAATGGCCGTAGTCATTTCCACAGCCAAGATGACTGCGATCAAAGTGTAGTATCTGTTACAGTAGCAGACAGCCGGTCCAAGGCTCCAACCAGCAGCAGCGATTCTAGCCAGCCATCACCCGAAGCTCCAGCGACTCGCAACGATATACGATAAACTGTTCTTTTCAGGACAACACTTTTCAACGACGCCAAAATTGTCCTTCTTCTCACATAAACATACAGAGATATTTTTTTGCCTAGTAGATTATGTAACATTATTTTTGCCGATGTATTCTCTCTAACAGAAATAAACTTTGTAATATATTTTTTTACTCAAGTTTTCGTTTTCTTTGTTGCCGTCTTTCATAACTTAATATCTGTTAATGTTGTCCAATATACCCACCCGCAACAAGAAAATGGTCAGAGACAAGATGATGAGGAAATCAGGCAATGTTTATCCTGCGGATATGTTTCACCTCCTGAAGACATATGGCGTCTCTCTAAGTATAAGATATATGGACATTTAGTTACATGCAGTTTATCGTTGCAGTTTCCTGAAGAACAACATTTATATTATCAAAAAGTTTGTCCCGATAGATCAATTACGACTGAGTAGTGAGTTTGATCCTCACATAATTTCGGTCGTGTGCCATAAATAAGCTAGGCTTAGTAAATCTTTATCAAGAAGGTCAGTAGATGCAAGCTGCTGGTCAAACACAGCGCCGTGATAGGCACTTAACTGCATGATTTAAATTAAATCAAGTTGAGGTTGCATCTACACAGTTTCTCTACTGTGAGATATCGCAGAATTACGTATTTAATCGAATGGACATAAAATGGATTCCGTGGATACGAAGAAACAACAACGTCATAACTAGAAAGTATTCAATAAGTCCCAGAAAAATAAGTACAGCATGAAGATTTCGCACTGTACCTATTGTGATTTTCAGAGAGAAAGAAAATTCTTGCGGAGCACTTGGTCTACGTGACAGTAATAATTGCAACTGAAGCAGAAGGAGCACAAGAACATGATGAAGTAATTTTTTATCAGGCAAATGTTTCACCCCCAGAAGCTCTGTGCCGTCTCTCAAAGTACAAAATGCATGGGTAGACCGGCACACTTTATAGATTAGCTGTACACTTACCTGGAGAACAACACGTATCTCCTCAAGAAGGTCAGGAGGTGCAACCTGCTAGCCAAGCACAACGTCGTGATACACACTTTGAAATGAACACAGATACACAATCAAGACTTCGTACTCTACCTATCGTCATGTTCGATGAAGGGAATAGAGCTGCTAACAATCACGGAAGCATGCAGCCGACTCAGGCTGCTAGAAGACAATGTTGAACGACATAATGCTCCCACAGAGGCTTCAACTTTTAAGAATACCACGGCAGATGTAAAGTATGTTTGCCATGATGTGTCTATTCAATCACCCCGTGAATGCATTTCAACATTGAAATAAACACAGGTAAAGCATGATTGAAGATCTCCTTATAGATAATGATGACACTGCCAGCAAAAATTTAGCACTACACCTTTGCAAAACCTTCCTGGGCTCAGGACCCCAGTTTGTTCCTGTATATCACTAGCAATGCACTATTAGCGTGGTAACATTTTACTTTAAATATTTACGAACCTATTAAGAATTCTATTCTTTTGCGTATGTTCTCGTGTGATTTTAGCGTGTATACATATGTATATATTATGGACAACATTAGAATATATTTATTCTTAAGCACTTGATCGCATTTCGTGTTTCTATCATTATGTATAAATGGATATAATTTTATTGTGATTCTTTGACTTCACTCATATACTATAAAAATCATTGTACAATGTTAAAAATCAATAATGCAACAATCCTTGGAATAAAACTAGATGCATTGCAACAAAAAAAATCATTTTTATTGCTGTCTGTCTCTAATGCACACATAACATATATCTCCAGATTAGACATGACCCATGCCACAATTGAGAAAAATCAAGACAAGTAATTCTAATATTTCCTTTCATCTGGGGAGAATGTATCTAATTCATATTTATTCCATTCCATTTTATGGAAAATGGTTCCGGGGTAATAACAACGCTGTTCGTCATGCCGCATTTCAGGATTTTTAAGAGAGACGGTGTCACGTACAGAGTTTTACGACAATTTACAAGGATTCGCAGTGATAAGCAAATGAATTCTATACAAATTTGGAAATTTTTTCCATATTAGAATTTCACTTTTTTAAACTTTCCGAAAATATATGCTTTTTGTTTTTATGTTAGTTTGAATATCCACCAATAACCCATATTTCTCTTGCATTGTTACGGATGAAGTCTGAGAGAAAGGTATGAAACTGTACACTAAACAGAGGCTTGTAATTAAATAACACCAGGCTGAAACAGTTGCACTCATTGATAGTCATCGATGTTTGTAGAACGTTTAAGGGGACCTTATAGTGGATTCAAACACAGTCAGGTGGTAGATAATACATTTTAGTAGTGGTGACAGCTATAACTCGTAAAATAACGAAAATGTTTAGCTAATGGTATTGACCATATGAAAGAATAGCGATTTGTCGCTGAAAAATTGATGCCTTATTATGTTTCCTGTACCTGTTATTTTTTTTTTTTTTTTTTGTGGAAATATCTTGGGTACATTTCCTTCGAACCGTCCGTGAATATATACAAGTGTTGCTTATTAGAAGTTCATGCGATTGGACCATGAAAATAATATTTATTTTGTGACTTAGTTTTCACCGCATTATTTGAAGAAATTCTCCCGGCCTCTTTATTGCAATAATTATTTGTTTTGCCACTTCCTTCTCTTTCCCTCCTTTTTACTCATTGCTTTCTCTCTTCTCTTTTTCTTTCTATCACTTTGCATTTGAAGATGTTTTTTCCCTTTTCTTTCTTGAATTTCTTTCGGATCTTATTTCTCATTCTATCTCTCTTTCGGTCTTCTTACTTCCTTTTTCTTTTTCCTTCCTGTATGTTCTTCTTTAAAAAAAAACATTTTCTTTTATAATCACTTTCTTTTTCTTTCTTTTACATCTATCATCTATTAGTCGTCTTTATGTCATTTGTTTCTTTTCTTGTTTCTTTGACTTCCTTTGGTCTTATGCTTCCATAGTTTCTTTCTCTCTCTCTTTCTCTGTCTACTCTCTCTCTCTCTCTCTTCATTTCTTTCTTCCTTTATTTATGCTTTTCTTTTTCTTTCTTCCTCTCTTTATTTCATCTTATTCTATTGCGTACCTTCTTTCTTTTCCTCTTTCGTCAAACTTCTTTACCTGTTCCTTCTCTTGTCCCTACCACTATTTTAATTGTTCTCTTTCTTTTCTTTATTTTTCCTTTTTTCTATAATTTTATATTTTATTGTCGATCTTTCTCCCTTTTACTCTTCAAATTCATTTTATTTCCTTTCACTTTTTTTTTCCTTTTCTTTTTGCTCCCTTTTATTCTGCTGTTCCTGAAAGTATTTTTCGGCGATTGAATGGGAGAAGAAAAGACGTCACCGCTTTTATCAGCAATATTAAAAATAAGGCACATAAGAAAACAAACAAAACCCGAAACCCCGATGTGAAATTTGAAAAAATCAAACATTTATTACATAAACATAAAAACAATATGAAATAATCCTAGTTTTACAAATACGTTTGCACAAAATCTTCCTATTGTGCGCCTGATTATTAAAGGCAAGATTACTTGTTCAAAAAACAGAAATATAACTCATAAAAAGATAAATTATTGAACAAACTTTCAAAAAACGAAAAACTTGCGAGGTTACCTTACAAATACCTTTTTTTAAAAAAAAAACGTTCAAAACGCACGATCTTTCAAACCAGATACATTTACTTAATTAAAAGTCAAATATGAGAATTATTAGGTAGGTTCACCAGAGTCACTGGAGTCAGTGGATTTTTAAAAAAATATATATTATGCTTTACTTCCCATAATTTTGCAAAAACTGTTTCGGGTCTCGCGACCTTCTTCAGGCAAAGAGTGCATATTTCCACATATTATTAAAATGAATTAATTTTCCTTATGTTAAATATCCACTCTTTGCCTGATGAAGGTCGTGAGACCCGAAACACGTGTTGCAAAATTATGGAAAATAAAGCATAATATATATTTTAAAAAAAAAAAGCCACATTACAACCAAAAACGTTTGCGGTTTCTCTCTTCTTTTTAATATATACACTTTTTTCTCGTTAGAACAACTATAACCTCTTCCCTATATGTATATATATATATATGTCTGCGTGTATGTACGTTTGTGTGTGTGTATGTACGTGTGTGTGTGTGTGTGTGTGTGTGTGTGTGTGTGTGTGTGTGTGTGTGTGTGTGTAACTTGTAACTTTTTGCTTTCTTCGAAATTTTCATACTTTCTGAAATATTCTGCTAAAACGTGTTCTTTTTTTTTTTTTTTTTTTGAAATTTGAAAATTAATTCGTCCGCCTTGACCAAATTCGGCGATTTTTTTTCAAAACATTGTATTTTTAGGAAATTAAAAATGATTCACATCATATTTCTTAATCGTCAGTCTCCCTTTAACATCTCTTAAAAGCAAATGTAATACGCAAACCTCAATCAGTTATGTGCCATGCGTCATAGACGCTTAGGCGATCATATATCTTTCGATACATGACTGACGAGACAGATTTTTTCCTGCTGTTTTTTTTTTTTTTTTTTGCTATTTCTTTCTGTGGTAGATCAGTTGCCATCCAAGGCTATAGAACCCGAACTGTCCTGCTATTTAGCCATAGCTAGGAAGAGAAGAAGAGGATTCATACCTTTCCCAAGGGTATTAGCACGTTAATGAATGTAATGGATTCGGCTAAAATCTCTGATTCCTCAATCCGTGCCACAATCCATTACTCCACCGTGCCTCTAGCAAACATTGAATGAAATAATATTTATTTGTTTATTATCTGCACGTTTTTATTAATCATTTATTTAATTTACATTTTTATATAAATTTTGATACTCTCCTCTCAAGAGAAAGAGCAATAAACAGATTATTGCATTATTTTTTTATTATTTTATAATCACCTTTTAATAATTTTTGTCCCTTATTCTTCATCATTTTCTTTTCCCCCTCATTTATCTACTTGAGTATATACGAGTTGTGTAATAAATAGTAGCTCAGAAGGGGAAATCGGACAACCGAATTCGAATTCCAGTCTGTTGTTTTACATTTATTTGCGCAAATACCCTTGGGAAATGTTTCAGTCAATTTCTCCACTAACTATGGGTTAGACAGTAGTAGTTGCATCAGGAAAAATCATTGATATTCTCACAATATTTTTAATGTAAAAATCTTCTCGTAATCAAATCAAATTCATTTATTCATTTTCTTTTCTCATCACTCGATATTACTCGCCTTCATTCTATTTTTCTCTCTATATATATATTTCCCTCATTTCTGATTTTGATCTTCACGACATTTTCTCCAATTCTTTAGACTCGGTATTTTTTAAACGAATCCTATTTTCTTAAATCCCTCCATTTTGCACTTATTGTCTGATTTTTATTGTATTTCTGTCGCCTAAGTTTGTATTTTCCTTCAACATTGTAACTCGATGTCACTATATTTATCCTTCTTCATCGACTCGTCAGCTCCAATTTCATTTCATTTCCCATATTTTAATGCTGCCAATATTTTAAAGCCGGTAACATTTTCAAAGAAAAAGGAAAATGAAAACTTCCCATCTCCAACGATTCAGAAAATTCGTAAAACGCCACACGCGGTATAAAAGGAGCAGTCGATTCCAGTATAAACTGAAAGATATTCCCATGAAGAAAAACCTAAGTTTGGAATTGAATATAATCTTTTTGAACAATATTCATCAAGGCTTGACTTCGCCAATGATATTGAAAGATTTTCCACTATTGCTGGGGAGCCGGCCACCTACATCAGTTGTAGGGGACACGAGAAAATATCGCCGTGGACAGCGCGTGTGATTTTTTTAAGGATAAGGATAGGTTAAATAATGCAATAAAGAATACTTGATAAAAAGCTGTTTAAATAAAATGTCTGATACTCTTTTTCAGATCAATAAAATTTACTTAATTATATATAAAAAATAAATAAATAATGTATATAAACCAATCAATAAAAAATAACTGTAAAATTATTCAGTACACATAATTAGATAAGTTATTTCATGTTATAACGTCTTTAAGATAGAACAAATTTTAAATTTAGTTGAAATAAAAAAAAATGTGTTAGGTTTTTTCGGTTAATTCACCCCAAAATAGAAAGAATTTGTATTTAATAAAATTCACACCAAATTTTTCAAGAATGATGCCTATCCATTGCACAGGTTAGGTTCAGCTTTTCGATCGCCCCAAATGTGGGCAACTCAGGTGATTTAAGTTGTGGGGTGAACGTCCTCACTCACCCCGATAAACAACCCAAGAACAGATTTTTTTTTTTATTGTAAAAATTTCCTTGTAAGTACCTTGAATATCATTCGGACTTACGAAATATAAAAAAATTCCTGATTTTTGGTAATTTTTAATTCTGACGGTTGGATTTGTTGCGAGGCAAGCTAAACAAATTTTGATTTAAAATTTATAATTTCAAAAAAATGCCAAAAATTTAATAAAAAGCAAACTTTGATTTAAAATTTATAATTTCTTGGGGTGAATTAATATTTACGATAAGTAACTTTACATTATTTGAGGTAAATTAACAGAAAATAAACCAAGCAATCAACATAAAAAATGGTGCATCAATGTGTTTGAAGTCTTCTACTTGTATCTAAAATGAATAATAAGCATTAATATTAGAGTTAAATCACTTGATATTCCGAATGGGCAAATATGTGTTTGCCTCTTACGTAAACGCTCCGAGCAATTACTTTCTAATTTTACCACAAATAACCCAATTAGTCTAACGACTATAATAATTTCTGAAATTACCATTCATTACACACGATAGCCTACAAACATGTGTCAATTACAACATCAAGCATTCACTTACGATAGGTTAATAGCTCTTTGCTTCACCCTCGTGACGGGCATGGTCGAGTTTATGGCCCGGTACTCGCTATTGACATTTTTGAAAATCTGAGATACTCCCACGAGAAGTTGAAATAATCAATATTGAAATATTCAGGATTTGCCAATAACCGTACTGGGTAAAGCAAAATAGAAATCAATGGATTTGTTTGGCTTATTGATCTAAGAGGTTCTCCCATGTTCTATAAAATAACAGATTTCTTTTTCAAAATCTCCTCTATTTCATTATTAAAAGCAATTGTACAAGGGACGACAAATGACGGCCGATGAATGAAATTTAACCCGACGCGATATTTCATTATCTATTATATGAAATAATTTTATATTATTTTTCATTTCAATTCATGGTTAAAACTTTAAAAATGTCTTTTGTTTATCCATGATTGTGAAGTTCTGATCAGGTCGATAATAGTAAATGATCAAGCTGTTATCCAATGACAAACAAATTTGATTGACTTTTACTAATGACACAGAAATGAAGGAGGTTCAGCTATTCCTTTGTCCCCCCCCCCACCAAGCAAGGTAATAAAACCACTATGACGCATTACTGAGTATGAGCGAATATGAGAAAAACACTATTAAGGAGAGAGAGAGAGCAATAAAAGTATAGGATAAGGTAGAAACTAACGATTGACATTGCATTTACATTTTTGAAGATCAAACTTGACTGGGAAGGAAGAAGCTGAAAGAGAGTTCCACAAGTAAGAAGTGCGATAGAAGAAACTGTTAGCATAGAACCTGCGGTTACATCTATTTCAACTGTAAAATGATGAAATCTTTCTGCCAATCCAATACTGCGCTTAAATTCATAAAGTCTAGGTACCAATTAATTTCAGCATTTGACACAACATATTTATCTGTGAAAACAATTTCAAAGATGAACTAAATATAATTTTGAAGCACATTAAATTTTAAATTAGGAATTCTCATTATTCATCTTTCTAACTTTTACTAAAATAATTGTGTATAAAATGAATATTTATTAATAATAGTAAACATTATTTAATACAGGGAAAATATCACTTTACACACACACACACACACACACACACATTATATATATATATATATATATATATATATATATATATATATACAGGGTGTCTCTAAAGTTTGGACACAGGAAAAGTCATGAAATTTTTAAACGTTACTCATTTTCTTTGTTTTTTTAGTCAGGAGTAACGCCATCTTGGATAAAAATAATAAGATTTCATTTTTTTAAAAAAACATACACAAATACACACACGCGCAACTCTTTTTTGATCTGATGCAGCCTAAACGGCGAAATGCAAAATCAGATATATTTTGAAACATAATTTCATAAACGTTTTCCAATTCTCAATTATTTGAAACTGTCGGGATTATACAGGTTTATTATGCTGCACATGTTTATATAGAGAGGCAAGGATGTCATTGGTTTATAAAGGCTTGTAAATTTGAGAACGTTCATGGTTATTCATCAGGTGGTTGAAAGGTCAGTCAAAGCATGTGGAGTGCATCAAGTATCTTAATTCAAAGTCTGATGAAAAGTAAAGTGAGCGAGTAATATTCAATTTTTTTTTAAATGCATCTTGTATGGATTGTTATTAGATAGTTAGGAGATGGACGTACGTGATGCATCTTCAAAAGCTGAAGTGGTAGATTTAATTGTTTTCTTTTGATTTTTCAACATATATAAGTTGTTGTGTATGTTGATAGTAGTAATTCTTTCAGGAAAGGTGAGATTGGGAAAAATCCGTGGCATAGATTGATATTTTGATAATATTCGATGGCTGCACTCTCGAGGATTTCCCTTCTGAGTAAATTAATTTCTCTTTTAATGAATGTGACATTTTTCAGATCAAAATTGTGGTCGAATTTATTTCTGTCTATGACTAGTGCATTTGTTAAATTGTCATTTATGAGGTCCCCTTTGTGTTCATAGATACGTTTTTTTTTTAATTTCTGCATGTTTCCCCAATGTATTGTGAGGGTCAGTTTTGGATTTTTATTTTATATATGCCTGCTTCTGTTACTTTTGTTGGGGTAGTGAATTTTTTTGTGTCTTTCTCTTTACGTTGTGGATGAAGTGACTGGATATCGGAGGTCTTTGAATGTGTTTTCTATGTGTATTTCTTCTTTAGGTAGGTATTGGGGGCTACACATTCTTAATGCGCTTAACCTATAATTATACCGGATTTAATTTGTGACTGGACATTCAGCATTCCTATACATCTTCGGAAATCTACGTCCCATTTTGTGGCGTCTGTTATTACACTATCCAGAGGGTTAAATTTCTGTATCTACTTGATTTTGACCCCCACCCCAATACGTAGATCCCATCTTGGAGTATCTCTTCTGTTGACAACCAATTTATTTTGTCTTTTTACAGTAAGTTCGTTCTTCTTACTTTCCAAGAGTCTGCTATCAACATAGTGTCATTTGCATAGTAAGATTATGTCTACTGATAATATGTTCAGGTAGGCCTTCCAGTTCCAGGATCGTTTCGCTACGGGTTGAATAAATCCGGTGAGAAAACGCCACCTTAATGTTTACGATTTCTCAAAAGTCGTGCTTTCAAGTAGGTCTTTGCGTCTAACATTATCAAATGCTTTTGCATAATCTATAAAACATAACTCGAGAATTTTCTGTATTTGTATTGCTCTTTCTGATATAATTTCGCTCATAAAGATATCATTTCTTGTTTCAGTTACTTGGATAAAGCTACACTGCCCTTGATCTCATTCTTCTAAGAGCTAGATTCAATAAAATCCTAATGAAAAGTTTATTTCAGCTGATTACTCGATTGAGCCATTTGCGCCTGACTTCTTTGGCATCACTTATAAAGATAGAAGTACTGAGACCTTCTAGTATTTCTTCGCTGTCGAAAATTTCATATATTATCTCAGTGATCCCAAAATCTTGAAATCATCTAAATCAAATAATAAATCTATTACAATCCCATATGGTATTGCTGCTTATCTAGGTCAGTATCGATCTTACCTCAAGATTTTATTATTACAGCTATTTCTGTTTTCAGGTTTTCGCATATTATTACTATAGGACATATTCTGGTCTATGTTCAACAATTAATCACTTGCACAGTCCCCACTGAACCTCTTTCCCCCACTCAGTTATACATCTTGTTTCATCCTTTATTGGTTAAATTATTATTATTATTATTATTATTATTATTATTATAGTTGTGGACAGAATTATTCAACCCACTTGCATATATTCTAAGGAAATGCGAATATTTGAAAATACTGGATTTGCCATAAATAATTAATTCCGTATTTAGTTTCGAATAATTTGTGAAATTTTTAGAAGTTTCGATCTATTATAATCATAGTTATAGATTTTTCTAAAAATTGGTGCAGTCCAAAATTATTCACCGCCCACCTTATGAAAATTATGAAATAATATTGCTCTATGGCAATAGTAATGTTTTTTTTTTTATTTGACATTTAATACAAACACCCTTTGAAAATGAAATAGTATTGGCCCTATTCCATAAGATTCTAAAAGGTAATGAAGAAGACAATGTGAGTGCCACGTACCGCAATAACTCATTCGTTCTGCGACCATGGTGAAGACGGCTGAATATGGCAAGAAGCTCTGAATGAAGATAGTTGATGCGTACAAACAAAACGATGAATATACAACAATTTCCAAGTGTTTAAATCTTCCTAGATCGACAATTTGTCGCATTATCAAGAAGTACAACGAAATTCGTTGTGTTGAGAATAAATTAAGGACTGACAGAATATGGTTAATTTCTGAGAGAATGGAAAGGAAAATTGCTAGAGATGTCTGGAAGAATCCTCACAATGATAAAGGACATTGTCAATGATAGAAAAACTTCAGTGTTGAACGTATTAAGAAAGACAGTCACTTGTCGAACAAGGAAAAATGCTTTGCCTTGCTAAACACCTAAAATGCAGATTAGAAGCCATCTAGAACATGGGAATAAATAATGGAACTCTGTTTTATAGTCAGATGAAAGCAAACTAGAATTATTTGATCACATGAATTCCCGTTATGTGTGAAGCTCACGAACCCCCAAAATATCTTCCTTACAATTAAGCACTATGGTGGGAGCAATCTGCTCTAGGGGTGTTTTGCTCCTTCAAGACCTGGAGAACTAATGAGAGTACAAGGTATCGTGGATAAAGAGCAGTATTTGGCTATTCTTAAAGTAATATAAAACAAAGTGCACAAAAGCTGACTTTGGGGTGTCAATAGACTGAACGTTCCCAACATGATAGTGACCCGAAACACACGACATGAATTGTACAGCAAAATGAAGGTACTGACTTACTACGAACAAAGTCCTGACTTTTAAACAGTATTGAAAATTTATGGTCATGCTTGAAGAAAAAGTAAGAGAAAGAAGTCCTTCATATTTGGAGGAACTAGAAGCTCTTGCCAGATAAATCAGTGTGTGTAGTGACCTTGTAAGGAAATATCGAAAATGATTAAAGTCAATAATCAAGAATAAAGGTTACACAATAGCTTATTGAGGCAAGAGAGGCAATATTTTTCTTCCTATGTTAATTGTTTTTTAATGTTTTCTTTTTATTATTGCTTGACATTAAAATTAAAATTTAGTTGTGAATATCAAGGCACATCCTTTCAAATCCATTATTTCATCATTTGTGAAAAGTGCCCACGAAGTTTCCATGAATATTTGAGGTATTACAGCTTCATTTTTATTTATGGAAGGAGGGTGAATAATTTTGACCACAACTGTGTATATATATATATATATATATATATATATATATATATATATATATATATATTATCACCTTATACCAAAGTAAATGAAAGATTTCCTTAAGATAAAAATTCAATCAATTTTTCTAATTATGTGAACAGTACCCATTCAAACTATCGTATTTCAAATAGATATGAGCTTCCTAGGAGATAGTCCATGTGTAAATCAGTATGTATAATCACTCCTGGTTTTCCTGCAACTACTGGAATTAAGGTTGTGTTTAAATGTCATATTCTATTTATATTTCAAATCCTTATATTTGAAGATTTTATCAAATCCTTTTTCCGGAATCTGTTTTATTCGACGATACGATCATAGATGATGATGATGATGATGAAGATGATGATGATATTATTATTATTATTATTATTATTATTATTATTACTCTTCTTCTTCTTCTTCTTCTAAGAAAAGAGTATTAGAAAACAATCGAAATATAAAAAATAATCAAATGTTATATTATATTTTTAAATCTTAGTCTTAATCGAAAGGTGTGTTTATAACTTTCGAACGGCCGATTACCTGAGATGGACGAGGTGATATTTTCGACACTTATTATCATCAGGCTGTAGACAAATAGAAACGTGTTAAAACAACGTTTTTCTAATGCATGCTTATATATAACAAACCAAGAGATTGTCTCAACTCATTTTCGCTAAATTGGTATAAATTCTAGGCGCCATGGCAATATTTACCAGTGGTACAGACAATTCGTGTGACAACTATACAATGTTTATTACTTATTCGTTTTGCCCAGAAACGAGTTTGTCGTTATTTGTTATGATCTCAAATCAACGAAGGATATAAGAATTTTAATAGCGTATATCTCTCTTGAGTGGGTTATGCGAGTGAATCAAATATTACTGTCTTACAACTCCCCAGAAACCCATCAAAGACTCGCCCATAACATATTACTATACAAAATTCACTAGTTATATAGATGTACATATCTATGATTAAATTTTATATTTAAATTTTAATTTATAAATTAGTTGCAATTAGAGACTATCTACATTAAATAATTATTTTACTACAAACGTTTTTATAGTCGACTCTTCGTATTTGAAATAGACGTTTTTATTTATTAAACAGTGGGTATTGCGCCTATCAACCTGTACGTTCGAGGAATTTGAATAAAGAAAATGTCTTCTCCAACAGGCATAAATATATTCATTAATCCTTTAAAAACCAAATAACTATATAATAGAATAATTATACTGTAATAAAAGTTATGTGACAGGAGTCATTCTTACCATAGATCGTAGTAACTTCAGCATATGTTTTGTTGGGATTGCCTCCCAGGATGCCCGCTAGATGGCGCTGCTCAGGACCATGTGTAAAAATTTTACTTTTACCATTTTAAAAATGTTGTCATTGAGCCGTCTAGATTGTTTTTGTTAATATTCGTTCTTTTGAGAAAAGTGTATTTTTATGAAGGCCAGATGGTTTGTGTAAAAAAATTGTTACAGTTTTACATCTTTTTTGGCTCAATGGTTAAAACCCGCCAAATTTGTGAAGGATCCATTTCTATTTTGCGGAAGTTTTTTTCGTATATACTGATCAATAGGAGGGCGTGGTCTCAAGCTCTAGTAACAACCCGAACTGGTGGGGGGGGGTTCTAATTTTTCAAATATATAGAGTCAGTAGATGCGAAGAGAAGACTTTTTGGTAGCAACGGGAGAAGTGAAATCAAGGAACAAAAAGGCTTTCAGCACTAGTTACCAGCCAGCTGCAGAGAGACTAAAGAATTATGAAGTTCAAGTAAAAATTTTCCTGTGGTTCGATTGCCAAGAACGAAAAAGAATTTAAAGGAATTTTCACAAGCACGAACAGTGTAATTTTAAAAGGGACTTTTCAAAATTTGCTATATATCCCAGTGATGTTCGTGGGGCAAGTAAAAGTATGTTTTCGGGGTTTTTTTTTTTTTTTTGTTTTTCTCAAAGATGGTAGCACCTTTATTTTACTACTACCTTCTTGAATTGTTTTCTCATTTATCTTTTTCAAAATACTTTTCATTTCAAAAACTGTAATTTTTTTCCATTTTTCGATGGTAATCCTCATCTAAAATTGTTATCCTGCCTTAATAATAAGGCGCACAAAAGGATTTTATTGTGCAAACTTTGTATTTGTACCTTTTTCGTAATTGTGTAATAAATGTTTTTCTTTTAAGATTTTACGCAGTGGTTGAGTCTTGTTTTGTATTACTATTCTGCGCCTTGCTATTCCTACTAAATAAGTTTTTGTGACACAAGACCTTAAATTTGGTAGGAAATAACTTTTTTTATATATATAAAGGGACGAGACAATTAACCACTTTATCTCTTATGATATCGTAGCGATAAAATGATATTATTCCTTTCGGAGGAGACCCTCCAGTTAAACCGACTAGTTAATTTCAAACAAACCACATGAGCACCATATACACGCACGTAGCCCCCCTCCTACCACCACCACACACACACTACGGCTGAATACATAAATGTTTTCTTTCCCTTTTTTAAACTATCTGTATACACGTAACCTTCTCTTTTTTTTTGTGAGGTATGTTGTTCTCTATAAATATATGTATAAAATTATTTGACTTGTTGAATTTGTTTCTTTTGAAAATGTTGATTTACTTTTTATATTTTCCGCCTCAGTCGTTAAAAAAAACGTAGTTACTTAACTTATTAAGTAGCGAACTTTCAACTTTGACTTTTCGAGTTTAAGAATTGCTATCGTCACTAATCTTATGTTTCGGGGTCATTATTAAGTAAAACTAATGAAATGTTTGGTTCTTGAGTTGACCTCGCCTAACAGTGACCCCGGAAATCAAGACCACAGAAAGCAAACCGCAAGTAAAGATCATCCCTATGTTGGAATAATTCTGACATGAAGAATTATCTTTATAAAATATGATGAGGTATCAAAATCCAACTACCTGATTGTTTTTAATGATAACGGCTTTGGTTAAATTATATAGTCACCTAATTTTAATCCCAGAGAGAGAGAGAGAGAGAGAGATAGAGAGAGAATCCCACTTTTTCTATGTGACGTGTCCCTTCAAGACGTTGGCGATCATGAACCTCCACAATATCCTGTCTTTGTAGCTCTTAATAAATTTAGTCTTTTTGTTATTTCTCCTAAACCCTGTTCTGCTATCCATTTTCTCAAGTTTCCTAGATAGGCTATTGTTTTAATATATTTTTGTTTATACGTTATTTTTATAGATACAAATATTTAAGTAAATGCTCTGTTTATAATAAACAGTATTAACTACATTTACCAGCCTGAATGACCGGGAAATTTCATAGAAAATGTGTCCTCCGACAGGAATGAACCCTGTATCCTACACGGAACCGTCATATAGCGAGAGGTGCTATACCATTTAGCTACAGAGGAAGCGTCTGTTTAGCAAAGTCAAATTACTGTTTTTAAACAACAAATTTCCCATGATTTTTCTCGAACGATCATATCTGCTCGAAGCGTATCTTAACGTAAACAAATGACATAATATATTATGAAATAGACTAAGTCCGACAATTATTTTAATATATTTTCTGTTTATACGTTATTTTTATAGATACAAATATTTGAGCAAATAATTTGTTTATAATAAACAGTATTAACAACATTCACCAGCCTGAATATCAGAGAAATTTCGTAGAAAATGTGTCCTTCGACAGGAATCGAACCTGTATCCTACACGGAACCCTCATATAGCCTGACGTGCTATACCATTTAGCTACAGATAGGCTATATGTTGCTTTCCTCTTGTCTGTAACCAGGTGCTCTAAGTTTGGGTGTGCGGTTAGAGTAATGGATAATATTTTGGAAATTGTTAATCGGAGAGTCGAGTTCCAATTCAAATTAGGTTCGTTATATTCACTTAAGCACTAATACCCTTGAGAAAAATATGAATCCACCTCTTCTCTCCCCAGCTATGGGTTAATTAGTAAGACTTGTATCACTAAACCATTATCTCATCAAAAAAGTTCTTACAATCTAAAAATATTTTCTAGCTTTAAATAACCTGAAAAAGGTTGATAAACCGTAGAAAAGGAATAAATCTTATCTTCAGTCTGTCCTGTGGATATCAACTTTACCAAGCCCTCTTTCCTCATTATGTGCACTAAAAATCTCAACTGTTTCTTTCTGATATTAAGTATAAGTATCCTTTTTGTTTTCAGTTTCTCTAAAACTTCATCATTGCTCACATGTTCGGTCCATGGTATTCTCAGTATCCTTCTGTAAAGCCGCATTTCTGCTGGCTTAAGTCTCTTTTTCCTTTGTCAGGAGATTATCCAGCATTCACTGCCATATAAGAGGATTGATACTACATAAATTTTCAATACACTTTTTTTTGTTTCTAACGAGATTTATATGATTCGTAATACTTTACCTAGCTTTTAGAAGGCATCTTTCGTTATCGCAATGCGCCTTCGGATTTCAGTGTCGCACTTACACACCTAGATATTTAAATTGTTGTACTTGTTTGACTTTGATATCTCAATTCTGTAATAAAAATGGTAAAATCAACGCCACAACGATGAATTAATAGTATTATCTTCGAACAGAGAGAGAGCAATGCGAACAATCTATATGCGTCGTTTAAATGAAGGTTTTCTTTGAAGTTTCCATTAAATTAATAACTACGATATATAGCTGATGAAGGCTGGCGAGTGGAGCGGTCGAAGCTTTGTAAATTATGTAATAATTTATGGACACTAGTATGAGAAGATTAATGTGTATTAAAAATTGATATAATGTATATTTTAATATCTACTATATATGTATTTATATATACATATAACACTAATCATACCAAATAATAAACATTGTCATTATTCGATTTATTATTCAGTTTGGTATCGTCACCTTTGTTTTTTCGATCAATCAATATATTTTTTCACAGCACCAGACGCATCTCCCTTGAAGTGGTAAATCGATGTAATGCACATCTGATAAAGGCTGAAGAGAACAACAGTCGAATTTTACCTATCGAAACAACAAAGATGCGGACGCTAGCTTGAATAATTCATCGAATGATAAAAAAAAATATTGTCTCAGAACTACAGACAATTCTGGGAACGGTCAATAAAATATAGGCCCAAACGTCGTGATCTGAACAACAAAGATGAGGATTCTCGTCTGAAGAGGAATTTAGATGAGAGACGATTACTTCCAGTTAACGTCTGCTATTCTGCTGGGATTATACAATAAACCGAGTCTTTTTTTTTTCTTTTTGCGGGTCTTCTTCTTAGTCAATATGTGATTCTCTCTCTCTCTCTCTCTCTCTCTCTCTCTCTCTCTCTCTCTCTCTCTCTCTCTCTCTTTTAGAACATTGCCAACTGGAACCGCTCTTGGAATTCGTCATTAAGTTGTCGAATTTATACAGCACAGATTTTTTTTCAATATCCATCCCAGTTTCACCACGCCTAATTAATGGATCGTTCGAATAAGAGCATCATACTTTTCTGATGTGATGCAAGGATCCTTTATTAACATTTTTAATACATTTTGCTGCTAATTTCTTGAAAGATTTAAGAAGTTCGTTTATTTCAACTCAATTTAATAATTCTAGATTGGTGATAAAATTCACACACCCACACTCACTGAATAACCCTACGTGTGAGCATCTGTTCACGCCAACCAGTACGTCTTCCTCTGAATGACTTGTAAATTATATCTTTGCGGCATAACCATTTCTAACTGAATTCTTTCCGTACAACCCTCTGATAGTGGAAAAAGCGCCATCATTCTTTAATACATTCGGTTCCCACCTTGAATAAATATATAATACGACGTGAATTATAACTGTAGTAATTTAACGAAAGATGAGAGATGTGCAATAAATTCCACGAATTTTTCTTCTGTCTTGACGTCACACATTTGGTTTCGTCTCTCGCAAAGTGGATGATGTAAGACATTTGTCAAATGAAAGTTGCCTCGTTTTCACGGCTTTTAATCTCTTCGGGGAACTTCGTAACATGCATGTTCTCAAAATTATGTCTACAAACTTTCGCCATCTTGTAAGAAAACTGTCAACATTCAAAATGTATCTGGCTTAACGAGGAAGAGAAAAGAAAACAATAGAATCAAAATTTATTAACAATAAATTAAGATCTGTCTATATTCCTGAGAATATTGTTGTAAGTATTTACACTATTCACATTGTTCAGATTTGTTCTTTTCTTTATTGTAATATTCACTATTGTCCTCATCTTTATTGTCATATTCACGTTGTACGTTTCGACCATTGTACGCTCCGGCTTCTCCAAGTTTTGTTCAACTCTGCTATGGCCAAGTATTGAACTCACAACTTTTTTATTGGACGCTTTTATCAACTGATAAATTTTATCACTTTTATCAATGGCTAAAACCGTTGGTTGAAGCAATCCCGTGACTTGATACAAAGAGTTGTGAGTTCAGTACCTGGCCACAGCATGGTGAACAATAACCGATATATCCTGAAAAGGCATGGTACGTGGAACTAAAATAATCTACCCCGGTGAACGAAATAAAGTGTTCGGTTCACAATTCCAACGAATATCCCCTAAAGAAGGCCGGAGCGTAGAACAACCGAAACGTCGTGAATATGACAATAAAGATGAGGACAATAGTCCGAATAATGTAAATAGTGTAAATAATAAATTAAGAATATAGACAATAACGCAGATTTTGTAGAAGCCGCTTTGAAGGATCTACAGTAGAATCGTCTTCAAGTTGGGCGTTAGAATTTCGATTTCAAATTCTTTATTGAACTGCGGATTTTAACGGACACCAATAAATCAAGAAAAAAATTGTACTTTAGATTTCCTTTCACATGTAACTCGGAAATAAAAGAATGAATCAAGACGTTGACGTTCCACACTACTTCAAATAAAAGGTTAGGAAGGAAACTCCCCTCAATACTGAAAAAGAGTAATCACTGCTACTGGACTTGAAAAACCTATTTTTCTGAAAAAAATGTTTTAAGAGCAAGATTTTATAAATTTTAAACGATACCTGAACTGGCTGTTAGGACAACGAATCCGAAATGTTTCCTTATAAGGAAACGTCTAATGTTACAATTATCATTTCCATAAAAGCACACGCGCACGCACGCACACAAATGCACACTTGTACATAATTATGGGCACACACACACACACACGCACGCACAACAGGCAAAACACTAAGATTGCACAGAAAGAGGCCTCTATAGGCAGATATAAAAGAGGAAAAACACAAAGTCAAACGAAAGTATGAAGAAGAAATTTGATCAATTTACTTCCAGGAAATAGTCAAGAAACACAAAAGACTAAAAAACACTTACCAAAACATTCTTGAAGAATTCAATAAAAGCGACGTGGTGCCAAGAATTGAATATAAAACGAATTGATGGTTAAAAAGAACAACTCTTCACACTGGCTTGGAATTGACAGTAAACAATGAAAATATTTTAACTACAGCAGGAAGTACTATTAATAAAAAATGGTGAAGTAAGAAAAGAGACACTGTAAAATGTAAGAGAAAAAAAAATAAAAGATTTGTTGGTACAAATCAGTTGAGAGGTACTATCGCTTAAAGAGAAAGTCTTTTAAGATTTTGAACTTCTAACACTGATTCTGCGAGTCAATATTTATTCATCTTCAGCCTTCACTTTTTTTGCAAATAATATTCCACAAAATATGTTCGTGTAAAAATAGTATTTTCTACTTGGTATACTAAAAAATGTTAACAAGAATCTACTGAATGTTAAGTGTGTAGTCGAATTATTTCAGTACTTTTATCGTGTATATTCTCTCTAACAGCGGTCGGCAACTTTTTTGGAGAGAGCGGGCCAGAAAGCAAAGCAGTGTCTTGAAGGAGGGCCACGATATCAAATGTACTATACTTAATTGTCTCGACCTCACATCTCTCCGTCCAGAAGACGGCCTTGGTCTGGAGGTTTAAAGAAAATATATTATTTAAACAAGGTTCTTTATTTGACTGCAGAAATAACAGGATAACAATTAACACAATCAACAAAAAATGCAAATTTCTTACGACAGACGAAATGCAGTTAGAAATGACGAATTATTTAAAGAGAAACTTATTTTTGTTTATTTTTCGATAACTCCACATCAGGTGAAATATTTGTTGATGAGAGGCGCAAAACCTCATGAATCTAGTCATTACCCAATCTTGTTCTTAAACGTCTTCTAGTATACATCATTGCCAAATAAAGTTGTTTAAAAGCACATATACTTCCAAATAATGATACCATCATTTTTCGCATTATACAATAGGTTTTTTTTTTCTCGCTTGGCAAAACATATTTCTTGTCAGCAGTGGATTCCGAATTAAATTTTTATTTAAAAAATTTGTCGCATTGAAAGTAGATTAATTCAAACTGATATTTTTCTTCCACTTGTTCCATAAATTAATTAGATAATTAATGCCCAGGTGTTAAATTGGTGAGTCGGACAAAAATGCTTCGTGTCCAGCTATTGAACACACAACTGTTTGGGTCAATCATTTTGGGACTACGTCAACCAATACAAAGGACACATGGCTCAGTGTATAAAAGCATTCTGTGAAGTAATCCAGTGATTTAACGCAAAGAGTTGTGAGTTCAATACCTGGCTACAGCTGAGGTGAATGAAAACTTGGTGAGTTGAGTTACTAAAGGGAATTAACTGAAACTGAGATATCCAGGAAAGGCATGGCACGTGGAACTAGAACAATCTGCTAATAAAGGGTTCGTTTGAAATTCCAACATATATCTCCTGATGAAGGCCGGAGCTTACAACGGCCAAAACATCAAGAATATATCAATAAAGACGAATAATGTAAATAGTTACAATACCTCATCTCAGAAATATAGACAGAGATATCAATGTCTTTATTATTTCTTTTCTTATGAAATAAAATCACTTTCCCAAGACAGAAGTTTTGAGGCTCCTTCCATTTATTGCATTAATTAGGTAAATAGATTTCCTAATCCATTGTGAAATTCTTCCATTTATTTCAATATCTCTGTTACTATTGCATCATCGCGTGGTGCTTTTATGTGTGGTAATACAAACAATATGTCGTCACCAATATCCGATACAATGAAGGTTGGTGATACTTCATTTTTTTAAGGATACATCTCTGTACAGTATTTGTTCGTTATCCTTAATATTCTGTCCGTGCATTTGGTAACTTACTCGTTTCTGCCTTTCACTGCATGCAATTACCGTTTATCTGTGTAGACTGTGGATTGAACCTGTTTTAATCTCTTCAATTTTACTGCGTTTAACTTCGTGTATTCTTTTGTTGATTAATTTCCATTTTCAGTTTTGTCTCCCCTTTTTCATCGCTTCTTTTGTAGACTGAGAGTTTGCCTGTCATCGCTTTCATTTGCTTTGCCAACAATCTCTGCTTCATCTCTCAATCTAGATGTCACATCTATTTTACTTACATTACTCAAAAAAAAACATGGAATCCTTTCTTGGTTTCCACCCAAGATGTTCTCTCTGGTCGTATTAGGATATCTTTTCTTCTGACCAATCATTTTGTTTCTCTCAATTTCAAAGTTAAATTTAATTATACAATCGTTCTATTGGATCAGAAAAATTTTAGTAGTGTTTTGTAAGTGAATTTCAAAAGTAATATTCAGATGTTTGTATACAGATTTATTTGAAGTAGCTTCCTGATTCCATCCTTCTAGAATTTGGCATCTTTCAGGTTGATGAAGTGGTCTATGTGGCTTCCAGTGAAATGAATTTAATCCCGTTAAGAGAATGATTTAGGAATCGAAATAATATAGTAACCAGGTGTAAAGTTAGGTGAGTATGGTGGGTGTAGTAGGACACACCTGGCAAGTTATAAGAAGTATTTGCAAAGAGGTCTGTAAAAAGACGTGATATCTGGCCTCCACCTGATGGAAGATGATGTACTTCTGATTGATCAATTCCATCAGTATCACCTTTTTTGGATTCAACTTTTCAACTAGTTGACGGTGTTTCATTTCGCAATAATTTTTTTTTTTTGCTCCACATTGTTGTAAACAATCCATGTTTCATTGCCTGTATTCACTCTTTAGAAAAATGGCTCGTCTTTCATACATTGGAGCAGAGAATCGCAGATGCAAGTGCTGCCCATTGATTTTCTTTTTTAATTAGATCGTGACGCACCCAAACATCGTAGAAATACGCGTACGGTACGCAAGTGTTTTCAAAAGCTTTTAAACCTTCATATGAGATATATGCAACATCATCAACGACTGCAGCCCTACCTAAACGCTATCGGTCTTCCAGATGAACATATGTCTACATTTCGAATACTGTGCAGATATAAGCCCTCTCGAAAATCTGGACGATGAAATGTGCATTCCTTAAAAGGGTAGCTAGAACATTGTAGGGCTGTAACTCTCTCTATGGTCGAGTGATCTAGAGCACGCCAGATCATCAGGGGTTTCTTTAACAAAGGAGGGCACATGTTTGAACCCTGCTGGAGAGCCCATTTTCTTGATTAAGTTTTCCCGAGTGCACAAGGCAATCGATGTTTAAACACACTGTTTAAAAACAAATAAAAAAAAACAGGTCGTTTTTTCAAACACGGGTATCCTCTTTGAAGTAATAAATATATGTATACATTGTGTGTGCGAGGGGCATTTTTATGGACACTTAATTATCAATACATTGCTCTATTCAAACTAATTAGAATTTTTATATTTCTTTCGTAATCAATATGACAGATGAAATGCAAATACAAACCATGAAAAGACATGGCTGCAACCTGTGCGGAACACAACGATTTAAAAATTACCAATTTTCTGAATGTTGCAAGATGTTTTCTACACAAAATTCGGATGCAATTCTAAGATTTGTTTGTTCTGAGTTTGTATTAATTAAATTTCTAAATTTAAAATGCATTACTTATTTCAAAATGTTTCCCTTCAGTATTTTATTTTGACAGGACTTGAATACAAACAATATTTTTGAAGTGTGATTCAATTTTTAATCTATATTTAATTCCAAAACGTGGTGTGCAAAAATAAGATGAGAATTTAAGAAACTATACATATTTAAACAATGTTAAAACCAAAAACAAAACGATAACAACATGAAGAATCTTCACAAAAAATCTATGCTGCTCTTTTGAGTGAAGTATTATGCTTAATTTTACTAATAAACTTATTTAAATATATTTTATTTAGCTCCTTTTAAACCCTGTTTTTAGGTGTTTTTTTTTTTTTTGTTTTAGTTCGGTAATAATTGTAGCCATTTTGTAAAAAAAAGAAAAATGGTTGTTTTATATACCTTATTAAATTTTCTTTGTACACTTGGAGAAGATAAATTTCTTTCTTCTTCCCTAAAAAGTATACACCGTGCTTAGCCGGTCATAGACCTTTAACAGCCAGTCATGTGACCCTTAGCGGCCAATCAGTGACGTCCAGTCAGAATAGAGAAGAGTTCTGGGTGTCAGAGCACCGTGAAGAGAAAATACTTCCCTGAAGTTGATAGAAACATAACCTCTTGCAACATGACGTACTGAACCTGTCAGTAAAAAAGGACTTATGTAACATTCACTAGCTTACCTTTCCAGGGTCGGGGAGAAGGCATGTAACACATTTCTGCACTTTGTTAGCATGTTCCCTTTCTAGAAAATAAAACCTAAATTTACGTTCTTCTGACTTCACCTAAGCCGTTATTTATTTGTATTTTAAGTCATTTTGGTAAATATATGTACGGTACTACTAATGCTGCAAAAATATTATTTAGTAAACTCTAATAACCAAGGATTTTTATCGGGCAAAATTTCTGGAGATATATTTTTCGCTATTGGATCGTTAAAACCTAATCACTATGAAATTTCTATTAGCCTTTTTTTTTTTTATCTAAATTCTTCTTTCGTTATTTCTTTCCTCCAACAGAGACATTGGCCTTCATTGTTAATCAATAGACTCATTTTAATTTGCTGTTTTTTTTTTTTTCCATCTCGAAACCATTTGCCAGTTTTATTTGCTATCATCAGGCATTTGTCTCCCGGTGTTGGTCGCCCTTCGTCCATAATTGATCAGTTTATTTTGTCAAGCTGATCTTTTCATATGAATATTTCATCGATCCTTTTCATGTGGTCATCTGCCCGATTACTTATTTGTTTTTGTTTTTACTTCAAACGTGTCAAATGCTTACACAAGTGAATTTCTCCTAAGTCTGATTAATTAATTATTTTCTCTTCTCCGCCTATTTTTTTTTTTATGTAATTACATGCATCGTGTCACGCATATCAGCCAGAACTGATCAGACAGCTTTTTTTTTATACTGCTTATGTGCCGTTTATTTAACACCATTTTAATACTAAATTCCACTGGAGAGCCACCCAAGGTAGAGGATTACTCTTAAAATAGTTATAATGAAATAATAAGTGAAGATTATAAGCATAAGAAGGATAGATAACGATTGACCCTTGATTTGAAGAAGTTAAGATTAGTAGTTTTCAGGAAAGCATCCATGCGGGAATCTGTTCTATAAAACAGAAAAATCCTTGGAAAATTCCATTTGAATTGAAATTTCTCATTGTGGCGTGTCTTAGCTGTAAACGTCTAAACTAAATTTGAATTCCCGTCGATAGAAAACAAAATTCTGTTATTTTTATACTCAGTTCCCACGCCAGTGATAACTTTGTTGTTAATTATGAGATGGAATCTGGAAGGCGGTGATGTGTCGTGACAGAATCCCGAATAAGTTATCAATTTCAATTTTACGAAAAAATCGATTAAAGAAAAACTCTTATAATCAAACCCTAAACCCAAGTGTATAGTACGTTATACTTGTAAAATATACGCTACAAATCTAGTTCGTTTTCTTTTTGTTAATTTTTCATTGGTTTCAGCTTCTTGTTTCACTGTTTCTTTTGTCCCTGCTCTCTCTCTCTCTCTCCCTCTCTCTCTCTCTCTCTCTCTCTCTTTCTGACTGCCTCTACGTCTACTTTTCTTTCTCTGTCACTGTCTTCCTATCTACCTGCCTGTCTGTCTGTCTCTCTCTTTCTGACTGGCTCTACATCAACTTTTCTTTCTCTGTCTCTGTCTCCCTCTCTGCCTATCTTTGTTTATCTGTCTCTCTCACTCTCTCTTTCTACACACACACACACACACATATATATATATATATATATATATATATATATATATATATATATATATATATATATATCCCGTTTGTCTGTCTGCCTCTGTCATCCCTTCTTTCTTATATTCTGGCTCATTTTCTTCCTCTGTGTCCCCATTTCTGTCTGTCTATTCACCCCCACTCTTTCTCTCTATTTATCACTGTCTCTCTTTTTCTCTTCTGTATATCTGTTATTATATTTCTGTGCCCTATGTGCCACTCTGTGTCTCTTTTCATTTATCTATATCTCTCTATTTTCCTCACTCTCCACCACTCACTATGTTTCAACATCTGCCTCACTGTCTTTTCTGTATCTGTCTCTGACTTCTCTCTCTGCTATCTCTCTCTCTCTCTCTCTCTCTCTCTCTCTCTCTCTCTCTCACATTCTGCTTCTCTTTCTCTGTCAATCACTTCTGAGTTTCTTTCTCTTGTTTCTATTATCGATGCCTCCTAGCGTTTTGCCTCCAGGTTTTCGTCTCAATCACTTCCTCCCCTCAGTCTTCGATCTGCAGATTTACAAAGACCCACTGCACGCACATGTAGTCTTTTCATTCTTTTCTCGTCTCTCGTTTCCTCTATTATTTTCCTTTTTTTCCAACGCCCATCAACACACAAGTATCTACGAACCTAACTACATTCATCTTTCTACGCCCTTTCTGCTGGGCCATCTTTTCTTAAGCAAGTTCATTTATGCATCAGGAGACTCCACAAATATTTCTTCCTATGGCACGTGAATATTAATTACCTCATTAAATCACAGAAGAAAAAAAGACGAATTCCTCTAAAGTATTTTTCTTTTCATCACACATTTTTTTCATTGTGTTCATCAAGAATTTTTTATTTTATTTTTCCAGCACATTTCTTTCTTTCTTTCTTCATGTCCATTACGTACACAACTTGGTATCTTCTGCCGCCATCCCATCCACAAACAATTTTTTTCTTTACTTACACTTTTTCCTTGTCCTCCATACTTTTATATTCCCTATCTTGCAATCTGTTCTTCGTTAAAATTTGCCAGCGTTGGCCTTGGACAACCAGAAAAATATCCGTTCACTATCTATCTACCTGTATACCGACAAAAAATCACACGTTTAGAATGTGGGGTTCGTATATCAGTAGTTATTTCAGCATCATATCTTATATCTGTTTGGCATAGACATGTCCCTGTCAAAGGCAAGTGTATACAGTCTCCAAAAATGAGGATGCAACATTCAGTCGTACTAACAACTGCTACTTGTAGCAAGTCACTTGGTAATTTAATTGAGAAATATTGTTGTATATATACGGACGATAATGGGTATGCCATAAATACAGTAGTGAATACTGTACGTGGTCTGCAGTTGGATATTCGCCTCCAGCTGTGCTGGTCAAACTCTCTGCCTCCGGGCAGAGAGGATCCCCAGACGAGGCTATATCGAAGGGCAGAGTCTCGTCTCGAGAAACAGCTGCCCAGTCCCGTTTTATAAGGGATCTACGGGGAATTTTTGGCCGAGCTCAGATATCCCACATTAAATTCGGCTTTGTGCTACATCTAACCGCGTGGAGCGGTTGGTAGATATCCTGCAGTTGGAGATTCATTGTGCAATTCAGTTGACTACTACTTCTACGCACCGCTGGCGAATCTTATATGTGTTGTTCTTGTTTTAAGTATTATCGTTTATTACCAACCTTCGTTTGATTATTCTATTTAATAACCTTCCCTAGGTTACAACAATTATGATTACTGAATCGATGGTTGATATAAGGCCGATTCATAGAGGAGAAACTGTCTGTTTCTCTGCCTACTGTACATAAAATAATTATTGATATTTATTTCTTACTTTCAGAATATATAAAGATTATTATTGGTCATAAGAAAGATATAAACTCAAAAGAGAAATAATATAATTGTAAAGTTATTGCCTGATGCAAAAAATAATGTTAGAAATTGTGAAAATGTTGAACAGCGATCGTAGAACAATCAAAAAGCAAATTAAACCCGTTGTTAAATAAGAATATTTAAAAATAGCTTTAAAAATTAGATAAAAAGATATCTAAGAAATATTAAAAGGCAATAAAGTTTATTATACAGAATGCAGAATATTAAGAACATTAGCTGAGGATACGAAATCAAACAAACATCTGGGCAATGAAATGCATCAAATCTGATTACGTAATATTAAGTTCTAGTGATGAATATAGAGCTATATTGGATGGACTTGGATCAAATGTTTAATACTTTATATTTCGTGCCAGACAAATTTTCTCTCCGGAATCTATTTTACATATCCTTAAGTCTACCATTCGGCCATGCTTAGAATATTACTGGAATATATAGTATGGTACCCATACTGTTTACCCTGAGCTCCTTCATAAAATCTAAAGAAGAATCAGCAATATTATTGGTCATGATCTGGCGGCTCGGATTCAGCCACTTTTCCACCGCCGTAAGGTTGCCTCTCTGTGTCTTTTCTATAAATAATTCCATGGTAATTGTTCGAGTGAGCTCTTCGCTATGGTACCTAGATTTTTGTTAATTTAAGCACAGTATTAGACTAGAATTGAACTGGCTAGATGTAACCATAAATTCTATACTGAAATGTCATTTCCTTCCAATTTTTACTTGTGGAATTTCCTTCTTGTTCCACGAATTCCAGCCAACTTTAATCTGTAAAAATTTAAATGCAATGTTAATCGCTATCTACTATCCTCTTGATTACTCTTTTCTCTTCCCGCTCATTATTAACATTTCTGTTCCTAATTCTTCCATGCCCTGTAACCCCTTGCGTCTTAGTGGCTTTAATGCCTTGCATGGGCTAATACCGATTAACAAAATAGTCAACACTATGTAGACAACAATATGGAAGAAGGTAAAATAATATTGCATACTAGTATTATAATTTTAAGATGTTGGACAAAATGTTTTTTGAGCGGTCATGACCAAGTAGCAATGAATTAAAAATATTCAGCTACGACAAGACTTCTTCACATTCTACAAAGCGAAAAACATATCAAAGAGGTATCGATAAAGAAACAAGAGAAAGAGACTCAGAAGAGATTGACCGAGAACTGCCAGAGAGAGTTCACAGAGGATACCGAAGAAAAGAGAAACAGGCGTTCAGACAGTGAGTTAGATGTAGAGACGTTGTGCAACATTCTCCAGCTTCTCTAGTGCTAACTAGAATTTGTATTGGACATACAGGATTTTCTCATGTAACCCTGCAAAGATCTGAAGGTGTACCTCGAAGAACACATTGCAATCATTGGTTGAATGTAAAAGCTGTAAGCATCTACGTAATAAATACTAAAATATCTCTATCTATAAAAGGCAGGATGTGTGTGTGTGTGTGTGTAACGAATGCACGGCCGCAATTTTCGACGGATTTGCACCAAAATTTACATGCACATGCGCGAGTTAGCGGGAAGGCCAAAACTGACTTTGCATTTCCCAACTCCGATCAATAGTGGAAATAATCGATTTTTTCATGCTTCTACGGCAGTTTTCATGTAGTTTGCGGCCATTTTGTACTGGCCAGAGTGAGGGCCTATAGCTGGCTGCCACGAATAGACAGGAAGATTTTATTGGCCAGCGTGAGAGCCAACAGCTGACTGACACGAATGTTAACTAGCATGCTCATTCGCTTGCTTAAACTCAACGTTGATTCTGATTCCGCAGAACTGGGTTGGGTGGGAAAAAGTATTTCTGGTAAACATTCTTTTTTCATTCGGTTTTTTCCAGTTACGAGTCCTTTTTTAAAGGTGATCGTTTTGTGTTCATTTTGTTTAGTTCTTTTTTCATAACAGCTTAATATAGAGCTTAGAAAAAATTCGCAGTGTGAGATAGGCAAGAAGTAAGGCATGTAGCAACATCAGCACAGCAAAGGGCACTCCTTTAAAGGCAAGGAAGGGCAAAAATATTTTAAGTCAAGTGATAGCGATTGCTGTATGAGTCGTACGATTTTTGAATCAAGCACGGGTAACGCCGGGCCATGCTGCTAGTCACAAATATAAAAACATTGTTCAAAAATGTTTTTATATTTGTAACATTCTAAAAGCAACGCGTGAAATACTTGGTTGGCTTGAGCGAATGAAAATAAATATGAATTTAAACATCCCTTTAAAAAATGTTTATTTAGGGATATATAAAGACGACTGGTTTAAATATTTCAATTTGTTGATACATTAAACAACTATTTAAAACGAATTGTAGTTACCTCCAAACTGAGCTCTCCCAACTATTGGGGGTGGGAGGAAAAAGTGTATATGTCTGTCAATATTTCTAACATGACTACATATTACACTATTTACATTTTTCGGACTATTGTCCTCATCTTCATTGCCATATTCACGACGTTTAGGTCGTTTTACGCTCCGACCTCCTTCAGGATCTGCCTATATTTCTGTGATGCGATATTGTAACTATTTAAACTATTTACATTATTCGAACTGCTGTCATCGTCTTTTTAATCAACGACAAACCTAGAATCAAATGAAAATATCATGGCATCATTAGCAAAATTTTTAAAGTATATACAGGTTTATTCATTTCATTATGCAATATTTTAATAACGAAAAGCAATATAAAACTTCAGCCAAGTCACATGTATTCTATTCACAAACAACTTTTATTTCCTGTCTTACAAGTGTTCAATGTGGCCACCACCCTCAGTACGGACAACATCAATGCGATAAGAGAATTCCTCCCAGACGCGTATCAGCATCCACTGAGTTGATCGCTGTTGTTATTCGATGTTTAAGGTCATCGAAGTTAGTAGTGTTATAAAATAAAATAAGAGATATCTCGGCTGATTTACAGGCAAATAAACTAACATACTCAAGAGCGAGAGCCGGATGTGAACGGGACAAGGCCCCGTCACAAAATGACCATTATCTTCGTTTACGCATGTTCCCGACGCACGAGTTCCGGTCGAAAAATAAAATAATATTTTAAAGTGTTTCTATTTTTCGACCAATAAAAATGCTTCCCTCCTAATTATACTCGCGTCGTTTTTCGAACCTGTTAAGCCATAAAAAAACGCCATAAAAGGGGTCACACGGGAGTACAAAGGCAGTCAACAGGAGGCCAGGGAAGAGATCTGTCACGGTCAGGCTGAGCGGTCAGCAGCAGTCAGCAGGGGGAGCGCCAGCGCCAATCAGTGTGAACTACTATGAGAGATCAACCCAGATTCGAAGCCGGCTTATGAACTTTACCACAAGGTAGCTGTCCCAAACCCACACGTTCCTGATGAAATAAATCACGTAAATCTATTTCTGCTGTTGTCGTATTTCTTTCTTGCAACCATACGCTTGTCTAGAACAGTAGGTAGCGGTGGAACATAAACAGGATCTTTTATATGTCCCCACAAGAAAAAAATCACACACGGTGAGGTCTGGGAATGTTACAGGCCAAGCACAAAGAGCTCAGGTCTTGGTAAGTGCCTGAACGAGATATAGTGTGTAAGGTTTCAAATGTAGACGTCTTCTTAGCCCACTCCAAAGAGTGGATCGAGAGATCGCAAGCTCACGGTTAGCTCGGTTGCTAGCCACTTGTTCCTCCGAAACTCGTGGTCGTCTTAGACTTTATCCTTTACACAGACACCCACTTTCTTGAAACTGTTTAAACCACTTTCGAATGTTCTTAGGAGAGGGCGGGATTAATTTCAAATTGCCTTCAAAAAGCACGCTGCACCGTGTCAACCGTATTTGTTTTCGCGAACACGAGAATTCAGAACGCCTTTTGCTGAGGATTCGCCATTCCGGGAGTACAACAAACAACTGAACGTTTCCGGAGATACGGCGTGACTACAGCGCCCCCTGTGGCAGCCATTAAAAACTTAGAAAACTCTTCTTCCAAATGCTCAATGACTCATTCCATGACGAGAACTGAAGCAATACGTCATGAAATCGGTTCATTCTTTTTTTTTTTTTTTGAATAACCCTGTACATTTAAGTATTATAACATAAAACCATAGATTTTAAAAAAAAATACATGGATAAATATGAATTGATTTTATTTCATTTTTTTCTATTCATCTATTTGTGCAGCTGATTTCTTTTTCAGTTGAGCGTAGTCTTTTTCGCTTCTTAT